CCAGTGGAAAAGTCCCTTTTTGAACAAGGAATTCACGGAAGCAGACGTTCTACCATTCAGCAGAGGTAAAGCTTGAAGACGAGGGATAGCACATGTTGGTCCAGCACAGCATGGAAGGCGCCCGTACTTACAAACGTGACCTCTGACAAAGAGTTAACACTGTCGCAATCAGTTGGGGGCGGTTACAAGAGGGATGGAATGAATATCCGTGACGTTTCCGCCTTAGGTTGCTCTAAAATCATTTCATTCATGAATCGATCACTATGCGATCACCTAGAGAGCAAGGCAGACGGAGGTGGACTCGTTCTGCTCCCACTGACACTGCCTCGCCTGACCGCGACGTTATCATTGGGCGAGACAGCTTGAGGGTACCGTATATACCTTCAGCTTGCGAACCGCAGCGCTCCCGTCACTTAATATACTACTTGGGGAGGAAGGAATCTCACGAAGTGATCGAATTCGTGGTCTGCTCTGGTAACAAGGCAGGGTATCGTGCGAGCTAGGCAGGATCTATAGGCGTGCACGACTGCCGTTCGGTTCCTCAATTCCACCAAGAAATTCTTAAGCTTACCTCCATCTTTTGCCACTTCATCAACCATTTCCATCACACATTCAAATATTGGGCGATGCACGGAATCGTACGCTGTGGCGTCCACCTATAACGAATCAGTTGTTGTTGTTGTCGTTGTTGCTGCTGCTGCTGTTGGACACGGAACTGCCTGGCGCTAGCGCTACCATCAAAGAAGTGCCTCATGCTGGCGTCACTAGTTCTGGCTGCCAGCAGTTTCACGACAAGCAGTGCTATTAGGTCGTGGCAAAAATAATGACCGTTTTCGCACCTGCTATGTTCCACTGATCATAATTCATTGAAAACTTAGGCAAATATAGTAATTTAATATATCGTTCGGAAGCACATTTTTCAAGCTATCGTACAAATTTTTTCCCGTTTCTCTGCCACCATTTCTTCTACGATTTTGGGTCACCCGCGAAGATGTTGTCAAGACGCGAAATCCGACTCATCATGCTTCACGAGTACAAACTCGGCCGTAATGCTGCGGAAGCAGCTAGGAATATCACCAACGCATGGGGCGAAGGTACTACAAATGAGCGCACCACGTGGTTCGACAAATTCCGAAATGGAGGCTTCAACCTGGAGATCAGGAGGGACGCGGTCGCCATCGGAGGTTAAAGACGACGAATTGAAGGCACAGATAGAAGCCAACCCAAGAGCGTCCTTAAGGGAAATTGCTGAAGAGCTGGGAGTTGACTTCGGAGCAAGAGCACGTCACTTTGAAGAAAATTGGGAAGGTATAAAAATCTGACAAGTGGAATTCCGCATGGCTGAACTGAACACCGAGCCGAATATCGTCGGTCGTGCGGAGCGTGGTGTTCCTCCGTCATATTTTTGCGGGACAAAATGTCCTTTTCTGGCAATTGAATGGTGACTTGTTGGAATGAAAAATGGATTCAATACGAACAAGCAGACAAGACGGCCAGGACACGCGGGCTGCGTTCGAATGAGACGAAGTCGCTAGAAATTTCCCAAAGCCGAAGTTGCATCAAAAAAAGTCATGGTGACTGTTTGGTGGTCTACAGCCGGTTTGATCCACCACAGCTTCCTGGCTCCAGGAGAAACCATCACAGCGGAGAAGTACTGTGAGGAAATCGAAAAATGCACCAAAAATTGCATCGGATTCAGCCGGCATTAATCAACAGAAAGGGCGCGATCCTACTCCATGACAACGCCCGACCGCATGTTTCATTGATGACAAAAAAAACTGATGGAGTTGGGATATGAAACTCTCGACCATCCTCCTCCATACTCACCAGACCTTCCCCTACGGATTATCACTTTTTCAAGCATCTCGAAATTTTCTTACGCGAGAAATGCTTCCGAAACCAAGACGACGTAGAAAAGGCATTCAACGATTTCGTCGATTCCAGAACTCCAGAATTTTATGCTGCCGGAATATCTAAACTGCCTTCTCGTTGGCAGAAATGTGTTGATTCTTTTGGTCGTTATTTCGATTGAAAAGCAACACTTTGAAGCGAGTTATGATATTTTAAAATATTTGCTTCAAAACGGTCATTATTTTTGCCACGACCTAATATATATACTCAAGTTCAAGAGTCAAGCTATCTTATGATTAGAGCACAGGTTTTCAACACATTGGGCGATTAAGTGTACTAAGGACTGCAGGGTGAATCCCAGCCGCTTTGGTGTCGAACGAGTACAACACTTGGGTTCAGAAGGGCAATTCTCAGGGCAAGATTCTGACCCAAACTTCAAAAAGTGGGCCAGTAAAAAAGGTAACTACTGCTAGCAAAGACAATAGGGATGTCACGACCCACCTTTCGAGCAGCGATGTTTCCCCATTTCTGCATTCTTTGTGCTGTCTCAGGCGAGTAAAGTCGCATTTCGTCCAAGTCATTATACAGCGAACGCTGCAGCCATTCGAGCGTGAGCTCACGGCTTGCTTCCTCTGTCTTTTGCACTCTTAACATTGACAGAAGATTTCGATTCGTCACATGCTGAAAAGAGATCGCCTTAGAAACAGCTCCGCCAGAAGAAAAAAAAAAGAAAGAGAGAGAAAAAGAAATCCTGTCGTCTACTAAAGATAGAATGAGCTCACCAAATAGTGATTAAGATGATTGTATGACCGGATGTGGTTATTTATCAAAGTATCCATTCCACGAGCGAACCACTGTGCGCACAATATGCAAACGACTCTATTTGATTTCTCTGGTCATCAAACCACAAATTCCCAATCCTACATCGCCTTGCGTTTGTACAAAGATCTTCCTTGTCTTCCTGAATTGTTCAGCCGTGAAAAAGGACATTTAGACATTAAAAGGTGAAAATAAGTCTTCGAAAACCGAATGGAAAAAATGAAAATAATTTTCCACCTTTATTTCATTCCATTTTCCATGTAACACTGTCGGAGCTTTCGGAATAGTTGACGACATCGGCACAAGAACTTTTCATCTGAATGAGTAAAATTAAGAAGAACAGTAGCAGATAAGGCAGTCAGAGAGAGGATAGAGAGAGAGAGAGAGAGAGAGAGAGAGAGGGAGAGAGAAAATGGATTTGTCCTCAGTTCAAACAGACTAATGTACTTCTTTCGCGCTGGGTGGCTCACCGTTGAGGCTGGGTTTATACTCTGCGTCAGCGTCCACCAGCGTCCAGGAGAGGAGAGAATGGAGAAGAGGTTAGCGACAGCTGAGAGGCGTGGGGGGATGGGGTTCGCGTGCAACTGGTGAAGTACGGAATCATGCCCAATTTATGATGTACGCGTAGTGTCCTGGACCGCTGGTGGACGCCGGCAAACGCTGATGAACGCTGGCATTCGCTCACTGATAGCTATATCCCCTAGTCCTCGACAAGCTGATGGACGTTAGCGTTAGTGTCAAAAACTATAGTTTCCTATTGCCGGAGCTGGTGTAGTCTCGAAACGCTGGCGTCGCTGGTGGACGCTGACGCAAAGCATAAACGCAACCTGAGTACGAGTTTGCTGGCTTTCAAACACCCCTTATCGAATATAGTTCCTAGCATATGGATAAGAGCAAAGAAAAAGAACAAGTAACATACAAAGCAAACGTCAGCGGGGTTCGAAACGGAAGGGCGCGGCTCTATACAGAGGTGCGCCTTATATCCCAGAAACAGGGTACATGATTTACATCTTTCTGTAGTTCTGCACTTTGTAAAGGAGCTAACACAACAAACATTGGTGGGCAATCTTACACTCCGGAAACCCTAGAACTAAGTAGAATGGAAATCCCTAGCGATGCAATAACACGTCAAAACCTACAAACGTACCAAAAGCGAAGCATGCTCTCTTTATGGCAAATTCGAAATGAGATTGTTCAGCACAGTGCGAAGTCCATAAAGCTTTTCCGCCGTCTTGGACATCTTTCGGAACACTCACAGTTAGCCAGCAGATCTGAACAGTGGTACTCGTTGGCCCACAGTGACTGCCCTCATCTTTTCCCCAAAGCGTGCTCATACTTCGCGATCTGATTGCTTGGATCGCGCGACCGTAATCGAGGTTCTCGTCCGCCATTTGGTGGAACGGCCAGAAATCAAAATGGACAGCTCACTATACGTACAACACAGCCCAATGGAATTTTGGCGACGTTTGACGATTGGCGTTAGAGCGCCCCCGTCGGGATCGCAATCATCCAAAGCCGCTCGAGCCAATCCCTGATCGCGTGATCCAAGCGATCGATCGCGAAGTGTGAACATGCCGAAATGTGAACTTACCGGACAGAATAAACACTGGCACTCCAGTCCAAGAGGTGAAAGCTCAGGCATCAGGCTTGGAAATGACATCACTTCAGACTTTATCACTGCCTGAAATTGTGAAGATTTCAAGGATAGATTGTTGCAGTGAAACAAGTGCTGATGAGCCTGCTTACCTGCATAGAAGAGGGAAACCAGTCCACGTTCACTCTCTTGTGCAGTCCTCCACCAAAACGAAACTTAGGGCTAGCAGTCAGACCTAACACGGTTGTTCTACGAGATTCCGGTGCATATTGTGATCAATACGAACATTTCGTAGGAACAATGATAGTCTGAAGAAACCATTAAGAATTTTTTTAAACATGACAATTGAGTAGATACCTCACATACCAAAAACTGCATGATATGACTTTCACATGAGAAATGTCCTTCCACGGACTGAACGGCACATCCGCAAAGTTCACAAAAGTTGCCCTTTTCTGAAAACGAATGGGAAATCATGCGTGGGGATGCAATATTTAGATAGGAACTTACTGAATGCACTAAAAAATTCAATTCCACACAGTGGTCCCGTAGTGCTTGTTATCGCCACAATTCCACTTGAAGGGACGCGTCGGAGTCACGCCATTCGCTAACCAGATTCAATATAGTGACCTCGACTGTTAATTAAAGTACTATTTTCAAATTAAATGGGAGCATCACTCTTCGAAGAAAATTCTATGTGCCCATGAAAATCACTAAGATAGCAGCGAATTATTAACTAACCAGTCGGATCGCCCAGCTGTCGCCGCGCTCCTTCTATTGTAAACATGGCCGCTAATCGCCGGGTGGGCGCTGATCTTGCTGCCGTGCTAACAATAACGGATCGCTTTATCAACTACACTAAATCAGGGGAATGTTCTGCATCAGCCAAGAACTGAAGCAGCGCCCGTTTTGTCAAGACGCAGAAGCAGCAGCAGCGCCCGCCGCATAAGGAGGAGCGCCGGCGTTAGCGAGCGATCCGACTGGTACGTTCATAACCTACATAGACGGGAATAGAGCAGCCTGTTAGATCAGCCGCTGAAGCATCGTACTGATTCATGCATCCCCCTTTTAAAGCGTCTTGGCTCTGCGAAATCGCTCCCGCATTCAGCAGTGGAACGCTTTGAATGGCCCTCACTGAGGTTGTTGATGGAAGATAGTTCTGATAAGAGTGACTGAGTCAAGTTGCTGCTGTTCATAACATCTCTGTAAACAAACCCCATGCATTCGGAATAGAGCTAGCTCAGCGGCGTACATGATTCCGCTACTGATGAGCGG